GGTTAAAAAGAAATCACCATTTTCTGAACTTAATCCTGGTCCATGATGAGAAGAAGAATATATTTATATATTTGTGTGTGACACATGAAATCTACTCAGACATTTCCAACATGAATGTGGTACGTTGGTGAAAAGCCTCTGTTGTGTGGGAGTTGTCTCTCTCCCTCTTTTCCTCTGTTGTGTGGGAGTTGTCTCTCTCTCTCTCTTTTTAAAGGTTATCATGTGTTCTGGGACTGTTTGAAGTTAAAAAAAATCCAGCCGGGGGCGCTCTGCTTTGGTGGATTTGGAATTGTGAAAACAGGGCTTCAAAGAACGGCCGTGTTTTTTCTGTTGGTATTTATCTGCGGTCGTATCGTCTTGGTTTTCTTTTGAAGCTCTCACTGATTTTTTTAGTAGATAAACTACACTGCTCCGTCTGATCTTTGGGAAGTCTGACCTTCATCATTTTTAAATGAAGACTCCATAGTGACCAGCAGTGGGCAGTGTCCTGCCCTGCTGCAGGATGGGAGGAAACAAGCCCATGGACTGAGTGTGTGTTGTGTGGGTTCACAGTAGTGTTAGTGATGTTAGTGACCGGGTGGAGAGCACAGCATGTTCTGGTCTTCAAGAAAAAAAACCATCAAATATCTTCATCATACAGACAGAACTGTGGATGTGTTCAAACCCTGGGACTGGATCGAAACACACTTTAAATGATTTAAGACAGACCTGGGTGTTGGGGAGGAGGAGGAGGAGGAGGAGGAGGAGGAGAGGCTGGAAAAGAAAGGTTAACCATTTCAGCACCATGGACAGAGTCCAGGAGGAAAGACTGTTGTTACAGCTTTTCCCTGAAATACTCAGATTTGAAAAGTAATGTAACTCTTTGAAACCTCCCACTGATTGGACGTTGTTAAGGCTTTGTTTTTGTTTTTTTAACTCTTACATTCCTGCACCCAACCATCAGCTTGAAGTGTGTTTTACTTTGTCTTTCCGCTTCCAATCTGACATTTGAGCATCATGCTGTGTTTGTAGCACCGCTGTTTTTCACCCATGACATCTGGTTATTACTCTGCAGCTCTGAAAATATAAAAACCAATCATCACATTAGTCAGTGAACTATGGAGCAATCAGGAGACGTCGAGGAAAGTTGCCTTGAAAGGACGTTTCTGTAGCCTGCTCGCTACGTTAAGTGTGGTTTAATGTGGTGTTTGAGGGCAGTCTTTACAGTACAGTCACTAATCTTACTCCCTCACAATGGAGGGAGGGGGGTCCCATTCAAACGGCAATGCTCAGAAACCTCTGCTCTTTTAATGTGGAGGTGAGATGAAATCCCCTGCTGTCTCCAGGAATTATCCAGTATCCGCGGTTGTTTCCAGGCGCTGAAGTGGTTTTGACTGATCATTAGATTAAACGTCCGATTTTTTATCTGCCAGATCTGTAATGTGTCCTGCAATTTACATAAATTATCTCAAACCTAATCAGTGTTTCAGCAGCTTCTCCATTATAACATCAACACTTCAAATTTTTTTTACACCTAGCTTCCGGGGGGGGGGGAAGCGTGGCCGGCCGGCCGGCGAGATAAACGCATTTTAGTGCGTAGACTGTGGAGGGAACTGAGCAGCTGTTTGGGTTTTTGTCATTACTCAGAGTCACAGACGGGGGGGCAACATTTGTGCCCTTGTAAATGATGGTGTAGATAACTTTGTCAAACAGCCACGACTGTCAACGAACGACGTAGGAAACAGGAAACAGTGTGAAGTGTGTGGAGACGAGTCTCGCTGCCAGATACAAAACTGACGGACGGATAAATGTAAAGGACACGATGAAGTACGCTGGAGTGTCAGGGGGACAGTGTGTACTTGTACTTGTACTTGTACTCCTACTCAGTAGAAGGACGGTGCTTCATCAGCCTCTCCAGAGAAAAGGTTAAAGGACGTATCCGTGCATTAAGGTGTGAGCACCAGAGGAAGAGGAAGACGAGGAGAGGAAAATACACTGACAGGTTTTGACGAGTAGCACGGGAGTGTAGGGGGATAAAATTGGAAGGAAAAGGGACTAAAAGCGGAGAGGAGAGGAGAGGAGAGGGGGGGGAGAGGGGGTGAGGACAGCGAGGCATGACAAACGCTACAAGAATAGGCTGGAGGAGTGAGCGATAGAAAGGGGGAGATTGAGAGATTGTCAGAGGCAGAGCCAGAATGGGAGAGAGTGGGTGTGCATCGCTACGAGCTACGAGCTACGAGCACTGCAGTACATTGCGGTGCCCAGCCCCCGCCGTGTTCGCTGCTCACCATCCGGTTCCATGCACTCAAAAGACCCCTGCAGCAGCAGTGGGGCTGCACGGCGCAGCCTGGCTGCCTGCTGTTGAACTGCAGCGTTTCCAGGCGCCTCTGACCGACCTTCGCCGCCTGTTAGGTCTGATGATGATGATGATGATGATGATGATGCACCAATTTGGTGAAGGAGTGACGGCTAAAAAAACAGCGACCCGTGCCTGGCTGCCAGTTGTCATGTAGAGAGAGGGAGTGTTCGACTCACCCTCCCCAGGATTATGTAAGCCTGTAACACAGTCACTTCCCCCCAGTTGCAGCTGAATAGAATTTCTTTTTTTTCTGCCCATGTTTTCCTCATTAGGAACATCTGCCGTGCTGTTTGCTGTTGTTCCAGAGGTAGCATCATCTCTGCAAACACACACACACTTTATTGAACTTATTGAAATGGAAACAATGGGAGGGAGAGGGGGCGGGGGCGTGGGGGGGGCAAACAGCATGTGCTCTTAAATAGCTTGTGTTTGTCTGCCTGTGGTTGGACTTGTGTTTTTTTTTTTGTGGGGCAAATAAAAATAATGAGTCCATTAACGACCGCAAAGAGTTCCACCTGACGTGAATTCCCCCGACGTCCGGCTGAGTACGGCGTGAGGGAGCGACTCACGGAGGAACGCCTCGGACTCAAGTTGTGTTTGTTGAGATTAAAAAAAAACAGTGTTTGGCCTCGGCAGTCGATGCCTTCTGTCCGGCCCTGAGTGAACACACACACACACACACAGACATGTTGGTAGATCTTAATCTCGATACGAAACACATTTCCTGCCTTCGCTAACAGTCGCTGCCTCTCCACCGCCGTCCGCCTGGGGCGGTGGAGAGGCTGGCGTGAGAGAGAGCTTCCCTCGCTGTGTGTTTTCCCATCGTTGTTGCTGAGGTGGCTGATTTTTTTTCATTGCTGTGGCCTGGTTTCTGCCTCTGGTGACGGGGGCTGATGGTATCTGTCATCGTGTTCAGAGGGAGTTAAATCAGTCAACACCTGGTTCAGGAGAGCACTCGCTTCGAGTTGTAAAAGTGTGTGTTTGCCCGGCCACATCACACACACAAATACACTCTGAAATTTTATCTGACTGCAGCAGCAGCAGCAGCAGCAGTAGCAGCAGCAGCAGCAGCAGTAGCAGCAGCAGCAGCAGCAGCAGCAGCCTGTAATGAACAGCTAGTAAATATGTGGTGTGTTATTTCCTCCTGGCAACATCTATAATTCATCCGGATTCATTTTTTAAGAAATATTTGAAGCTGCCTTTACAAGGAAAAAATAAATCACATTTCTAGATTTTCAATGTATTTTTTTGGAGATAAATAACAAACTCTGTCTCCGACCGTGTGTAGCCTCGAAGCTAAAGCAGAAAGACTCTGTGGCAGAGACGGAGGGAACAGAGGAGAACGGAGGCTGAGCTGCAGTAGGATCGGAGTGCTGCATTGAGCTGCATAATTAATGTAGGGAGGGTGGAGCCAAAGGCGGAGATAAGTTGCTATAAAGAAGGAGCTGCTGCAACACGGCTACGAGCAGAGCTAGCTGTGAGTGCTAATGTCACGGCTGCTGCTGCTGCTGCAGGACAGGGATCCAACCACGGTACGGTGGAACCGTGATGTTCTGATCAGGAATAACATCCTTCTGTCCCATCTCCACTCACCCCTCCTCCACCCTCACCCCCCCTCACCCCCCCCTCACCCTGAAATCCAATCCATCAGAGCTGTGCTGCACACCACAGCCTCACTGTAGCAGAAAGACTTTTCTCCCTGAAACATAAATCTCAAAATTGGAGCAAGAGAAGAAGAAAAAAAATTAAATTAAATTCATCTTCACACATTTTCACTGTTTATCGTGTGGAACAGTGTGTGTGTGTGTGTGTGTATAACTCGGCAGTAGAAGCATCTGCCCATACAGTTATCCATTCAGATCACACACACATGCAGTCCACACATGCATGAACATGTGCTGCAGTCGGAGGCACAAACAACACATTAGAAATGAACATTATTCACAGCAGAGCTGACAATTGATTTGAATTGATCACAATTAATCCTGATTAATTACAATTATGAACTCAACGTGCCCTGAATATTTAACAATTAATCCTGATTAATTACAATTATAGACTCAACGTGCCCTGAATATTTCTTTTATTTTTTTATGTGTT